GCCAAATGCCACTCAAAATGTTGTTCCTCGTTATGGCTGTTGTTGTTTGTGTTGCTGCTAGGATTCGGGTTGTTGTTGCTACCTGTGACACCTTTTTTATTTTGATGCAGGATTTTCCTGGTAGCTGGGGCTGCTTTCTAATATGGTTGACGCAGCATTTTCTGCTGCTAAAGCAAACGAACATTTTTGATATTTATAACTTTTCTAATTGCCATTCTCCGAGAGAGAGAAGAGCCACAGACTATGTGATATGAGGCCATTGCCCTGACAACGATTGCGGTTTCATTGCCTTGACTACGGCTTTAACTGCAGCTGGCATTGCTGCTTCTTGCTCTTCTTCAACGACTGCTTCTTCTTCTCAAGTTCCGGAAAAATGAAAACGATTTTTCCAAGCGAAAGTTGACGTTGCATTCGAAATTATTTACAACTAGCTGCTGCCAGGGCAACCAGAAGAAGCAGAGAAACCAACGACAAAGCAAATTTCAAGCTGAGAAACAGTTGCAATAGACGACCCGCTCACCCAAAATGCCACGCCCAGATGCCCTGTGACGCCCTCTTTATTAGAATCCCCCCGCGCGCCCCCTTCCGTGCGAGCTCCATTCTAGTGAAATGCACTTCAATGCTTAAATGACAATCAAGTTGGATTTTTCTGCAGTTTTTGAGGTTCCACGAAAAATTATTTGGGATGCAATGACAGCAGATTTTAAACGACTAGCGTATACCCTGTACTACATATTTTTATGAAAAGTTAGGTGGAGTGTGGAATGATATGCGAGTATAGTTAAAGAAATATAACTGGAGAATAGTCTTTAGTCTTTAGTCTTTAGTCTTTAGTCTTTAGTCTTTAGTCTTTAGTCTTTAGTCTTTAGTCTTTAGTCTTTAGTCTTTAGTCTTTAGTCTTTAGTCTTTAGTCTTTAGTCTTTAGTCTTTAGTCTTTAGTCTTTAGTCTTTAGTCTTTAGTCTTTAGTCTTTAGTCTTTAGTCTTTAGTCTTTAGTCTTTAGTCTTTAGTCTTTAGTCTTTAGACTTTAGTCTTTAGTCTATAGTCTATAGTCTTTAGTCTTTAGTCTTTAGTCTTTAGACTTTAGTCTTTAGTCTATAGTCTATAGTCTTTAGTCTTTAGTCTTTAGTTCAGAGTTCTTAGCCTCTGTTTCATGCTCAATTCATTATAAATGGATACTGTATACATTGAAAGAGATATCGAAATTTGATGGCTTCGACAGTTGATCTGATTGCCAAGCGAAACAACTGCAATTGAGACGGGCAATGGGAAAATGTCGACGAAGGGTTAAGCTAACAAATTGAAAAACTGTTTGTGTCTGGGCTGCGAGTCCATTGGACGGTGCAGCACTGATAGCGGATAACGGATAGCGGATAGCTGAAGGACGCCCCGCCTGGCGGCGTCTCCTGTTGAGTGCTCGGTGTGCGCTCGTTTATTAACTGCAGCTGGGACAGGGCAGGCGAGCGAAGGCAACGACTTGCTGAATGCTTAAATATTTTTTAATGGATCGCTTTCAATTAGCTGGCAGCGAAAGGGCGAAGCTGCAGCCAGCGTCAGGCAGGCATGAATCAATGTGGCAGAGACATTTAACTTGCTCCTGCCAGAAGCACTTTAATATATATAAGCTAGCTCCCTCTCTCTCTCTCACTCACTCTCTCTCCCTCTCTCTCTGTCTGTTTCTTTCTCTCTCTTGCACTCTATATATAATGAAATGCCAATTAGCTGACATCGCCATGGCCCTGCCTGCTACCGGCCACACATAGCCATGATAAACAATAAACCCAATAACAATGTGGCCAACAAAATGGACGATACCTAATTAGCTGGGCCAAGCTGCATGAGCGGCGACCAGTTGTCCTTGCCACATGTCGGTTGGCCTTCGTCCAAGTGAATTTGCTTTCTTAGGGCTGCGTCTATATATATATATATGTGTATGTGTGTGTGTGTGTGTGAGCTGCGCTTCGATTCGCACACATTTCTGGCTCATTGATTGCGACAATGCCCCGAATAAAAGCCAGCAAAGTGTCAACTTTTGGAATTGATAGTTACAGATACCAACACATGAATGACTTTTGGCCATTCCCCAATTTTGACACCCCCCCACACACACATCCACACACAGCTGCAACAGTTTTTATATAATAGNTTTAGTCTTTAGTCTTTAGTCTTTAGTCTTTAGTCTTTAGTCTTTAGTCTTTAGTCTTTAGTCTTTAGTCTTTAGTCTTTAGTCTTTAGTCTATAGTCTATAGTCTTTAGTCTTTAGTCTTTAGTCTTTAGTCTTTAGTCTTTAGTCTTTAGTCTTTAGTCCCATATAGGCTCAGGGCAGTTGCTTACTCCCAGCATTTAGTCAATTTCACGAGGTATACCCAAACTTGCTCATAAAGCGAGCAACTTTTTAGTGCAACGACGAATGCAAAATGCATAACAACAACCGGAATAGGACAAGCGTAAAAAGTAGCTGAAAAAATGTGTAAATGAAAATGGAGAAGAGAAAGAGGTAGGCAGGTAGCAGAAGCAGAAGAAGAAGCAGCAGCGGGAGACGCCAAAGTAAGAGCAAAAGCAAAAGCATAACAACCAAAGCAAATTGGCGCAGACTTGAAAAAATGCTTAACTAGCTGTACAGCTGGAACAGTATACAAATRTACTAATATATATGTATATGTATGTATGTATGTATACGTGTATATAGCTAAATTGTGCAGAGTGCAAAGTTCAGTGTAAATTGAAATAAGTCTGTTGGAATACAGGATACAAGCCATAGGGCACGCTGCCCTAGCAAGAAGAGTATGCGTGGGGCGAAGGGCAAGGGTCTAAAGAGTAATCAACCATATCTATATACATACACCTAGCTAACTCAAACTAAACATTGCATATGCTTATCGCTGTATACTGGACTTTACACCTATCAACATGGACTTGATCGAAGTGGTATAGGCGGAGTCTTTAGTTAACAGTATAATCTTGTGTGAAGAAACTAAGAACGTTGAAGTATTTCTTCACGATTTACCCATCCAAGTTAGTTAGTTTATTAGCTATTTTAAGGTATCCACATATATATCTATATCTATATATATCTTACATATGCATATACCTTATAGCTGTTTTAGCACTTGTATGAGCAACATTTTAGGTTTCCTTCAAAGAGATCCTTGTCAGGGTCTTCAATTGCTCGTCGTGCTAAATGACATAGTTAGCTTCAGTCTGTCAAGTCAAGTCAAGTCAGGCAGCTAAATAAGTATACCCAATAGACCAAGCGGGGCTACGGGCTGGATGGGTGAGTGTCCAGCTACCCGATTTTAATCGTGACACCTGCCCAACTGCCCAGCTGTCCAGCCGGTCGACTGGTCGCTGGGCCAGTGACACGCGACGCCGGGCAGCATAATTAAAAGTTAAGTACCTGACCGGGAGAGAGACACATATACGGCAAGCATGTGTACGAGAGCGAGAGAGAGAGAGAGAGGGCTGTGCTAAAGCGATTCTCCCTAGACGCAGCTCAGCTCACAGACAAAGCCAAAGGCTGGAGTGTGAGTAGCCCGTGCTAAAATGGTAACAGCTCGTCTACGTTGAAATAACATGCTGCACTTTTTAATGGGCAACTGCAATAGGGCGGGAACAATGGGGGCGATGGGGCGATGGGGGTCTAGGGGTTGCTCAGCGGGAGAGCTATGCTAGCCGAGCTAAAATGCTTGCCTGTTAAATTTTTCACAAAAGAACTTAACGCAAATACGCTTTAATGAGTTGTCATTGGCGCACGTTGCCGTGGCGCAAATACCCTACAGAGGGTGTTGGGGTATGCTCGACGGCTTAAGAGTAGAATGTGCGAAAAAGATATGGAATATTTCAACAAGCCTCAAATATTCCATTCAACGAATCAGTGCGAATTTCTGAGTAATCAAATGGAAACTATGAGGGGCTCAAGGGGAAATGAAGAGCTTGGGAATGGCTTAGGAGGCAAATCAGAAGAACAGTATGCTAAATTCTGAAAATATCTAATAAAACTTAGAAAATTTCCACAGAAGCTGCACTTGAGGGTATTTCGAGTTCACCAAGAATATGCTGAGCCACATTGAAGTGGGGCATAATTTAATCTTAAGACTCTGGGACAATTTTTTAAGTGCGTCAAGTGTCGTCGCAGATTGTTGATTGCCGTGTCTATAAACATGCCCATATATGTATGTATAGGTGTACAGATGTATATAAGGTCTGCTATCTATGTGTCTTTGAGGGGATAGCAGGCTGACAGCGCTGTCAAAGTCCTTGAATGAGTTTGTTGAGGTCGTAACTGCATTAAATGCTAAACTACTTATGAGTGTCGGATGGCAAAGGCGTGGCGGAGACTGCGGCGAAGGCGGACATAGACGTTGATGTGGAGTGAAGTACATTAACGTGGAACCTCTGCAACTTGTTGCTGCTTATTAAGTCTCTCACTGGCAAGACCCGCATTTAACTAGTTGAGTGGTGCGAAGAGTCGCACTCAATGCAATTCTGTTTCGTCTATAATCAAATATTGAAGCGTACTGTAAGGGGTGCGAGGATTCTATAGGAAGTAAAAGGCAGGAAGGAACTTCAGGACGGAAGACGGCAGATGGTGCCAAGTGAAAAGCAAGTTATACAAATTAGGCTAGATTTGCTTGATAACTATTATTTAACTGCAACCTTAACGTGTTTGGCTGCGATTATTGGCAATTGGCGTAATATTTTTGCGGCTGCTCATCAATCGATGTTTTGTGCTATCGATGGTTTCAGTGTTGGTAAATCCTAAAATGTAAATCGCTTCATTCATGCACAACTTTTGACATTTGTCATCTAATCGACCGCACGTTCGGGTTAACTTCTATAGCTAAAAATCTGTCAGCGGAAACTAAATCTTGAATAACGAATACTAGCTTACTATATCGGCTTAACTTTCGTATTTCTCGGCCCTCAGTTTTTGTTCAGTTCTGTTAATAAAGTTCAGTTTTCAACTTGAGACATAAAAAAAACACACACACACACACATTTTCAGGTTGAGGGATCTGTGAGTTTTCTGGCCTCCGCTGACTGAGTAGCCCTTTGCCGAGCTGAGCTGAGCTGAGCTGAGCTGAGCTGTGCTGTGCTGTGCTGTGCTGGATCATAACTGAGCATTCTGTGAATGTGTTCACTTCTCAATATATATTTCTATATATTTTTTAGTGCTATATTTTAGCAGTGGAGAAAACAAATCGTACAGTGCATCCGTGGCCACGAGTGTATCAATCCATTTGAATGGGAGATGGCCTTCGTGGCTACCAATGATCAGCATGGCAATGAGGTAATGCGCGTRGTGCTCTCGACGGAGCCGGGCAACAAAACTGTGGCTTCCTGTCAGAATGTCAGGATCAATTGCAGTTCCGTCGGAGTCCGGTCGTACACACAGTAAGTAATCCAAACCTTGTAGATGTAGATGTGTGCTTCAAAATAGTTGTCCTACTGCAGTGCAGGGCGTTTCGATCATCGACATCGCTTTCATTACTTTGCGGACACGGCGCCCCGTCTGCGGAAGACGGACCTTTTTCTGCTGCACGGGCAGAAAGGCTACAAAGACGGAAAGAATGAGCAGGCATTGGGGAAGCAGCAGCAGGAGATAAATAAACACCAGAAGCTAGAGAGGGGGGAACATTCAAAAAACAGAAAGAAGCATGGGGAGGCAGATGAGGCACTGCTGCTGGATATGCCTGGATACTTCAATATGACCATGGGTCAGAAGGAGCAGAAGGAGAAGGCACAGCAGGTGACTTTGAAGCCGAAACTGAAAGAGAAGGCGGTGCAGACGGAACTGAAAGACAAGGCAGTACAGAATACGTTGGATAAGAAAGAGATGTCCGACCGGAAGACTTTGCAGCTAGAGCACAAAGAGAGTGCAGAACAGAACAATGTGGATAAGAAAGAGAAATCAGAGCAAAAGACATTGCAGGTAGGGCATAAAGAGAAGACAGAACATAAGTCGTTGCATGTAGAGAAGAAAGAGAAGACAGATCATAAGACCTTACAGGTAGAGCAGAAAGAGAAGGCCGAACACAAGACTTTGCAGGTAGAACAGAAAGAGAAATCTGAACGTAAGACTTTGCAAGTAGAGCAGAAGGAGAAGTCTGACCTTAAGGCTTTGCAAACGGATAAGAAAGAGACTGCAGAACAGGAGCTGCTGCTGGTGGATAAGCATGTGAAGGCAGCACTGAAGACGTTGCAAGTAGATCAGGCTGTGAAGCCTAAACGGAAGACACTGCAGTTAGATCAGAAAGAGACGTCAGACCGGCAATCGTTGCAGTTAGAGCAGAAAAATAAATCAGAACATAAAATTTTGCAGACAGAGCAGAAAGAAAAGTCTGAGAGCAAGACACTCCAGTTGTATAAAAAAGAGAAGGCCGAACAGAATGTTTTAGAGGTAGAGCAGAAAGATAAGCTAAGAAAGACGCTGAAGGTAGAGTACAAAAAGAATACAGAACTGAAGACGCTGCTGGTGGAGGATAAGAATGATAAGACAGAACATAAGAATTTGCTGGTAGAGCTGAAAGAGCAGTCAGAGCAAAGGACTCTGAAGGTAGTGAAGAAAGAGAAGACAGACCGGAAGTCTTTTCAGGTAGAGCAGACAGAGAAGTCAGCGCAGAACACATTACAAGTAGATCAGACAGAAAAGTCAGAGCAGAAGATACTGCAGGTAGAAAGGACATACCGGAAGACTTTACCGGTAGAACAGAAAGAGAAGTCAGCGCTTAAGGCACTACAAGTAGAGCACAAAGAAAAGTCTGAACGCAAGACGTTGCTGGTGGATATGAAAGAGAAGGTAGAGCAGAAAGAGAAAGCAGACCGGAAAACGTTGCCGGTCGATAAGAAAGAGAAGCCAGCCCGGCATGCGTTGCAACTAGAGCAGAAAGATAAATCCGAACATCAAATTTTGCAGACAGAGCAGAAAGAAAAGTCTGAACGCAAGACACTCCAGGCGGATAAAAAAGAGAAGGCAGAACAGAATATTTTAGAGGTAGAGCAGAAAGATAAGCTAAGAAAGACGCTGAAGGTAGAGCCCAAAGAGAATGCAGAACTGAAGGCGCTGCTGGTGGAGGATAAGAATGATAAGACAAAACATAAGAATTTGCCGGTAGCGTTGAAAGAGAAGTCAGAGCCACAGATTCTACAGGTAGAGAAAAAAGAGAAGACAGACCGGAAGCCTTTGCAGGTAGAGCGGAGAGAGAAGTCTGAGCTGAGCACGTTACTGGTGGATAAGAAAGAAAAGGCAGAACAGCAGGAAGTAGAACAGAAAGAGAAGCGCGAGCAGAAGACTCTACACGTAGAGAAGAAAGAGAAGACAGATCGGAAGTCTTTTCAAGTAGAGCAGAAAGAGAAGTCAGAGCAGAACACATTACATGTAGATCCGACAGAAAAGTCAGAGTGGAAGATACTGCAGGTAGAGAAGGCACACCGGAAGAATTTACCGGTAGAGCAGAAAGAGAAGTCTGATCATAAGGCGCTACAGGTAGTGCAGAATGAGAAGTTTGAGAGGAAGACGTTGTTGGTGGATAAGAAAGAGAAGGCAGCAGAGCGGAAAGTAGAGGAAAAAGAGAAGCCCGAACAGAAGACGTTGCAGTTAGAGCACAAAGAGAAACCAGAACGGAAGACTCTGCAGCTAGGGAGGGCAGACCAGAGGAATGTGTCGGTAGAGCAGAAGACATTTCTGGGGGATAAGAAAGAGAAGTCAGAACAGAAGGAGGTAGATCAGAAAGAGAAGCCAGAGCAGAAAACGTTGCAGGTAGAGCAGAAAGAGAAGCCAGAAGGGAAGACTCTGCAGATAGAGAAGGCAGACCGGAAGAATGTGCCGGTAGAGCAGAAAGAAAAGTCAGAGCAGAAGGCATTGCTTGGGGATATGAAAGATAAGTTAGAACAAAAGATATTGCAGGTAGAGCAGAAAGAGAAATCTGAGCGGAAAACTTTGCTGGTGGATGAGAAAGAGAAGGCAGAACAGAAGGAGGTAGAGCAGAAAAAGAAGCCAGAGCAGAAGATGTTGCAGGTAGAGCAGAAAGAAAAGTCTGAACGGAAGACATTGCTGGGAGATAAGAAAGAGAAGCCAGAGCAGAAGACGTTGCAGATAGAGCAGAAAGTGAAGTCTAATGAGATGATATTGCAGGTGAAACAGAAAGTGAAGTCTGGGCAGCAGACAAAGCATCGATATTACAGTCAATACTTGGAATGGTCGTACGAAGCGATTTCGGAATCAGAGAAAGAGACACAGCTAAAGCAGATCTCGCAGCCGATAAAATCGCAATCAGAGAGATCGAAGTATGAGATGAAACCTCAGCTAATAAATTGTCAGACGGAGAGACTAAAGCCAGAGAGCTTACATCTGGAGTTCTTAAAAGAGGAGAAAATTCAGGTGATGCGCCTTAAGGCAGACAAGTCACAGCCGGAGCTGTGTCTTCAAGGAGACTTACAGCCAAAGCGTGAGAAGCGAACCCAAGCGAAGCAGAAGGTGCAGCTGCAAATGACCCCGAAGCTGGCGGTGTTGCACTCGGACACTCCGCGCGTGCTAAAGGCTAGGTCACATACAGAGCCGAATTTACAGAGAGCCAACGGATCACAGCGAAAGGCCAAGTCTGAAAATAATTTACCACAGGATCTGGATCAGAATCAGGAAAAGAAGTCGTCTCGGACTTCATCCCATCACAGCCATGGAAGTCTAACTGTCTCTGAATCGGGACTGTGGAACAGCGCTGAGGTCATTGCGCACAGCACGCTGCTCTCCATGCAGGAGCAGATGGCCAAGCGGGACAGCAACAACTCATCGCCCTTGTCATCGCCCTTCTACGCCTGGCTGGCTGCCAAAAAGTAAGCTAGACATACATCACTGATTGCTTGGGTTTATTAATTGTTTCTATCTCTTGTTGTTGTACGCCGTCTTCGCAGGGAGAAGCAGGATCAGCTGAAAAAGGAGCGCCGTCTCTCAACAGAGTTGGAAGAGCAACGTGCCAAGGAGCGCTCGCGTCTCGCCCAGCTGAACTTTGAACGTTGGGTCAAGAGCAAGAACACTCAACTGCGACGGGCTAAGTCGGATGTGAGCTCCGGTCAGCTGACCACCCATTCGCGTCAGTCGCTGCCAGCCTCCGAGTCGCAGCGCCGTCTCATCGAATGGGAGCGCGAAAAGCTGGCCGAGCTCAGGGAGCAGCGGCTGAAGCGTGAGGCCTACATAGAACGACAAAATCAACTGGAGTCGGCGCGTCGCGAAATGAGCGCCGAGGCCTTTGAGCAATGGGTCCTGGCCTCTCGTAACAAACCGAAGCCCGTGCCCATGGGCAAGGGCCTAGACTCGCTGCGCGGCACTACCGCGCCCCTCTTCACGAATCCCAACGAATGGAAATCGGTGCATGGGCCCATCGTCAAAAAGCCGCAGAATCCGCCGCCGCAGCCGCGTCCGAAGCGCCAGGGGCCTGACTACGAGCGTCTGGAGCGTCTGGCTCAGCCGCGACGCGCGGTCTGCAAGCAGAGCCCTAACGTGCGGCCAGAGCCCTTGAAGCTGGGCGAGACTGGCCCGCTGTCAAAGCTGAGCAACTCACTGGACAGCTGCCTGTTGCGTCCGCATCGCACGTCCATGGTCTGGAGCAAGGACAATGCACAGCGCGTGCGCGAAATGAAGAGGAACGAATCACTGGGTGGGTATCAGGCCCAGCGCGAGCTGCACGACGATCAAGTGGAGCAGCTGCGCAAGCAGCAGGACCAGCAGAACAACAAGACTCTGCCGAAGAAGTTTCAGGACAAGCGCGAGAAGCTGCGCCTCCGCCTCAAGGACTGGCTCGAGGAGGGCAAGGCGCTGCCCCAGCGCAGCCGCAACAGCAGCAGCACCGACCTCAACTACGAGCTGAAGCTGGAGAAGCACGCGCTCAAGCAGCAGCAGCGTCGCGCTGTCTTCGCGGAAGAGGCGGCCCAAATGCAACGCCGTCGAGTCGTCTTCAACGAGACGCGCATTCTACGCTCCGACGAGCATCTGCTATCGGCGGCCAACAAATCGAATAATCCGCTGCAACGAGCACGCAGCATCGAGCCCAAACATTTACTCAAGTCGAAGGAACCTCAGAAGGTGAAGCCCTGGCGTTAGATTTAGGTTCACGTGTGATTAGAGCGTCCCCCCACCACCCTCCCCTCCCCTCACTCACGTCAATCCCCATATCCTTATTATATTCATGTAATCGTCCTGTTTTTTGTAAGTTTTTCAAAATATATATTTTTTATTCAGGCCCCCATTCTGCTTGGCATTTATTTTGTGAATTGGTTTTCTAATCAAATTACGGGAAATGAGGCAGAGATTGAACAATATAATCCTCACTTTCTTTTCAACTAGGTTGGGCTGAAAGTAACTCAGCCCTGGCTACAATTTGACTTCAGGGAAACTCCGGGCAGGTAGGGGCTTAGGCCCGTAAGGCTTCCCAGTGGGCTGCTCGCAGGAGTCCCAGCCAGCAGCTGCCATTGGAGAGAATACCTTCTCATAAACAACTGTAAATCGAGTCCAATGTAGTTGAGCAAGCAGACTGAAAGTGTGTTCATGTAATGCAGCTGAAAACGTTTCAGATGCTGCTCCAATCGCACCGAAAGCTCCGATTGAGAACAGCAGCTCGGAATAATTACAGCCAAGTGCAGGCGATTACCTCAAGTTGGCTCCAAGACAAAGGCATCGACAGCGACAGCGACATCGAGAATCGAAATGATGTCAGTGGGCAGGAGGGAGTGGGTGTCGGTGTCGGTGTCGGTGAATGCAAATCGATACAGCTTAGGCTCTATGCAAGCACTTGGCTCATTTGCATTACTACGGCCTCCCAGCTCTGGCTAGCTCGTTTGTTGCAGAGCCCCGGTCGGCCAGTCGACAAAATGGAACGTTGGCGCAACAAAGTGGCCGTGGTTAGCGGCGCCAGCGCTGGCATTGGGGCTGCCTGTGCCCGCGCCTTGGTCGGTGCCGGTCTGCTGGTCGTTGGCCTGGCCCGGCGCCAGGAGCGCATTGAGGAGATGCGAGCAAAGCTGCCGCCAGCCGAGCAGCGGCGCCTGCATGCCCGCCGCTGCGACATAACGCGCGAGTCCGAGGTGCTGGCCGCGTTCGACTGGGCCCAGCGGGAGCTGGGCGGCGTCCATGTGCTGGTCAATAATGCGGGCATCATTGCGACCACGGAGCTTAGCGGGCCGGGCAATACCCAAGCGATACGCGACACCATTGAAACGAATCTAATGGGCAGCGTCTATTGCATCCGCGAGGCATTCCAAGCAATGCGGCGACAGGAGCAGCAGCAGCCAGAGCAGGCGAGGCCTGAGGGCCACGTGATCATTGTGAACAGCGTTGCGGGGCAGCAGGTGCCAAATCTGGGACCTCAATTGCCATCGCTAAACATTTATCCGGCGACCAAATTTGCGCTGCGTGCCATGCAGGAGATCTACCGCCAGGAGTTTCAGCGCCATCAAACGCGCGTCCGGGTCTCGGTGAGTGGGGGTAGGGAGCCAGCAGTGCATAATGCCTAAACACCTGCCTAGTGCCTCAAAGTGTGAGCTATTCGAATGGCTGTTTGTTCCTTTAATTGGAAATCGGAAAATTGCGAAACTCGACCTCTGGCGCACTCTATGTGAATATTTGCTGTGCCCTGCGATATCTCAAGCCTCTAACCGTCTGAAATTCGGACTCAGCTGCCTCTCGACTTATTATCAGATGTCTCGATCTTACGCCCAACTTTTTGTCCCATCTTTAATTTGACTATCCATCCACTCTTTGAATCTACTCATTGAATCTACCTTCCCGAACGACCTTTGACCCTACCATTCTATATTTTGTCCCATCTTTTCTCCATTGTCCATTGCAGCTTCTGGCTGGCTAGAGCCAGCTCTGGCTAGAGCTCTAGATATAAACGTATATATAGATAGATAGATAGATAGATAGATAGATAGATAGATGGATAGATAGATGGATATATATATATACGTATGGCTATAGCAAAACATCTTTGAGTTTGGTTGATTTTGGAAATGTTCAATTCTTTTGAATTCGCCTTGTCCCTTAGTCCCTTGACTCGCTTGAAGACCAATCACTCCCTCTTCTATGTTACTACTTAGAGAGAAGTATACTTGATACTTGATATTTGATTTCAGACCATAAGTCCCGGCATTGTCGACACGGACATCTTGCCCGAGCAGATACAGGGCGTCATCAAGCCACATATGCCGATGCTGCGCTCTGAGGATGTGGCCGACGCCGTACTGTGGACCATCTCAACTCCGGCCAATGTGCAAGTGAGCATGAAATGTTGAATGTTTCCGCATCATATCTGAATATTACATCGAATACGTTTTCCTTCAACAGGTACAAAACATTACCATCAAGCCACAGGGTGAAAAGTTTTAACTATCATTCGAATATTAAAGAGAGATATATCGTCTAGCTAACTGAGATTGTGCTGTTCTTTAAGGGAATGGAAATGTGCTCGGGGCTGTTTTGGGGTTAGGCCTTTCTCCAGCGCTTTTCTCACGCCTTCAATCATCAATCAAACTCTCCTGGCTGCGCTGCCAATCATAGGCAACTCATTTGAATGTCTAACTGCTTGCACTTCCCTAAAATAGTCCAGCCCAAACGCTGCTGGCCCAAGAAAAGCTGTGTCCAGCCACAGGCCCCGGGGACTTGAAACTTGATTGAAGCACATTGTACGCTGCCAGGTGCTTTGACCCAGAAGAAGATCAACAATTTCCACATCGATCAGGCTCCAATTGTTACACACACACACACACACACACAAAAACAGAACACGAAACAGTAGAGGAAAAGTCCGAAATGGAAGGGAAAAACAAAATTCCGTAAGGAGAGGAGAAATTTGCATTTTCTGTTTTACAAATGACGCAGGTGCTGTGGCTAAGGCTAAGGCTAGGCTAGCCTAAGGCTCGATGCACGATGCGGAGCGTCGGACAAGCAGCTCATTGGATTGCCAAACAACGAGCCGCACACACACACTCTGGGGGCATAACGAGGGCCAGCCGAGAGGGGTCAATGCACAGAACATTTGGAGCAGCTCAATTTTTGGCTAAAATGTGGGCTCGACCCTTCCTTTTAGCCAGCACTCAAATCAACAGCAGCAGCAGCAGCAGCAGCAGCAGCTGCGATTCCTACGGCCAGCTGTCTCTATCTACTCACACTTTCTATACCCCTCTCTTTCTCTCTCTCTCTCTCTCTCTCTCTCTCTCTCTCTCTGTCTATATCTCTGTCACACATCGATGCGTTATGTGTGTGTGTGGCCAAGTGCTGGCCATACCTGTTACCTGGCCGAAAACAAAAGAGGAAAAAACTGCTCGAGCAATGTCTCACAATGAAAATGGATTAAAAGGATAAGTGGGCGGCAGAGCGTGTGGGCGTTGTCTTGTGGCTGAACTCCATAGAGACCTGCCTGCTCCACCTCCACCTCTACCCGAGGCCGGCTGACTGCAGCTGCATTGTCTGCGCTGTGGTCCAGCGGCTGCAGCTGCACAGCCTCGGCACAAAGTTAGCAGGTTACATCGAACGCTCAGCCCCAAAGCTCCCTCTCGATTGTTGGCCTAATTGAATTAACCAAAACAAAAACATTAAAAACTTCTATCTTAATTACTGTCACCAAGCCAGACTAGCCCAGCCCAGCCCAGCCTAGCCATATGCAGATTTGGATGCATCTCCAGTGCTTCAGAATTTGCCATTACTTAATGCAATTTCTGCAGCTTTACCTCTTTATCACACATCCCGATTGGAGCTTTAAAGCTGCATTCAGTAAGCAACTTTGGGGCAAGCAAACTCAGGTAAGTCTCTTAGCTAAATGCACAGCTTACCAGTAAGTCTTCAATTGGGGTTGTCGAATATTTTTAACATATCGTATCGATGATATTTTAAGGTTTGACAAAATATCAATATGATGATATGCAACTTTTAAAACATCAATTTATCAATATTTTTCGATTTATTTTTAAAAACTTTTTTCCCACAATAAATGTACATCGCAAAAAATATATCTTGTACAAGCTGCCAGCACGAAAGCTTTTGGTGTAGACAAAAAACACTTTTAAGCTGAAGAGTAAGAACTATGGAGAATAATAATCAGCATTACATGAAAACATTACCAGAGCTTTTTCAAGAAAGCTTTTGGATTAAGTGCAAATCGTAAACTTTTGTCAGCACGAAAGCTTTTAGTGTAGACGAATGAACTCTATTAAGCTGAATAATAAAACCTATTGAGAGTTTTAATCAGCATTACATGAAAAGGAAACTTTAAAGGCATATCTAAGCTTTTCAGAAAGCTTTTGGATTAAGTGCAAGTCGTAAACTTTTGTTGAAAGCTCCTGGCAAAGTTATCACAACAAGTTCTTCTTCATCTAGGCTAGCTACCTGCTTAATGCCAAGTTTCTAGCAGCTTTTAATCGACTATAATGAATAATTAGTCCAACTTTAAGAAGCTTTCGCTTGCCCGTTTAAATCAAAAGCTTTTATTGAGGGAATTTGATTTTATTGTCTTTGATTTATGTGTGGCCTAAAGCTGACTAGCTTGAACTGTCTAGATACGTTAACAGATGGCTGAACGGGAAAAACTGATGAGAAGCTTACGGATTCAGCGAAAGCTCTAGCGAGGCTGCTTGCTTCATGTATATGATTGGAGAGCAATGACAAAGTTTGGTATTTAGCAAAAGCTTTTGCAAAAGCTTCCTTACTTTGAAGTCCGTCGGTTAGCTTGATCGCAAGCAGCTTAAAGCTTTAGGGAAAAGCTCTTTTGGCTCGCTCAGCGCAAGCGCCGCGTTGAGTGCTCCAGCGAGCTAAGGCTCTGCAGACGGCGACGCAGCGAGCGCTGCGCCACCGACAGCGGCACCTGCAGATAGAGCGAGGTGATTGGGTGCGATTGCTTGCGCTGCCGCGGCGCAGTAGCGGCAGCAGCAGCAGCAGCAGCGGCCGACATTCTCAGTCTGTCGCGCCGCGGCTGCTGCTGCGGCTGCAGCTGTTGCTGCTGGCGGAGCTTCTGCATGGCCTGCAGCTGCGGTGGCGCCTTGATCGCCTGTCGCGAGATCCAGCGCTGCCAGGCGAGATGGCTGAGCTGCTCGCGCAGCTTCTCGTTCGCTTCGTCCTCCTGCTGCACCTGCTCCTGCCGCTCGCGCCGCTGCTGCGCCTCCTGCTGCTTGCGCTGCTTCCACTGCTGCAGCGAATGTTGGCTTTGCCGCTGCCTCTGGAGCGTCGCGATCTCCGCTGCCAGCGCCTCATCGAAACGCGACTCCTTCAGCAGCAGCCGCTTCTTCTTCGCGGTCAGCCACTCCGCATAGCTCTTCTGGGCCATCTGCTGGCGCAGCTGCTTCGCCTGCTGCACCCGCTGCGCCTCGCGTCGGCTCTGGCGGCGACGCATCGACTCCTGACTCCTGCGGGCGAGAAGGACGGCGGGGTGCGAGAAGATAAAAGAGAAAAAAAGGGCGAGAAAGAGGGGGACAAAGGGAGAGTGAACGTGTAGAAGGGGTGGGGGGTGGGGGGGGGGGGGGAAAGGAAAGAAAGGAAAGATAGGAAAGAAAGGAAAGATAGGAAAGAATAGAAAAGAAGGAAAGATAGGAAAGAAAGGAAAGAAAGGAAAGATAGGAAAGAAAGGAAAGATAGGAAAGAATAGAAAAGAAGGAAAGATAGGAAAGAAAGGAAAGATAGGAAAGAAAAGAAAGATAGGAAAGACAGGAAAGATAGGAAAGAAAGGACAGAAAGGGAAAGAAGGGGAAAGGAGATAAGTGTAAGGGATTTTTGTGTTCACTCACATCTTTCAAAGGGAAGAAAGCGTAAGGAGCGAGAAGACAGAAAAGGGAAACGAGAGAGAGGAAACAAAGAGTGATAGAATAAAAAAAGAGATGAGTAAAAGAAAAGTGTTAAAAGAAATGAGAGAGTAGAGTAGAAAAAAAGAAAAGAAAAGAGTAAAAAGGATAGAGACAAAGATAGAAGAATAAGGACAGGCGAGAAAGCGGAGACAAGAAGGAAAGGGGAATTCGTGAAGAATCTCTCGATTCCCTTTTATCAACTCACCTTTTGCGCAGCAGCCACTGCTCGAAGGTCAGGCGGCGCTGCCCGGGTCGGCTGCGCAGCTGCCACTGCGGCAGCCACGGCGACGACTCCATCAGTTGCTGCTGCTGCTGCTGCAACTGCAGCAGCTGCGCCTCGCGCGCCAAGGCTGCTCTGCTCGTTGTGCTGAACTCCTGCGAGTCCAGCCTGAAGATGTCGCTGGCGCTGCTCTGCTCTAGCTCCGACCGTGACGTCAGCTGCAGCGGCGGTGGCGTTGCAGCGCGTCGCGGTCGCGTCACTGCCTGCCGCGTCTGTCGCTCCACTGAGCTGGAACGGTTTCCTGCCCGTCGCAGTGGCGCAGCAGTCGCTGCCTCAGTCGGCGTCTCCTGCAGTCGCAGTCGCAGCGTCGGGTAGACCTTCTGCTGGCTAGGCGAACGGAGGAAGAGTTTTTGCTCCTGCTCAAACGGATGGATGGCTCATGCTGTTGGCTCACCTTTGGCTGCTGCTGTTCTTGTTCTCGCCTCCTGCTGCGCGGCCGCCAAGTGCTGCCACCGGCTGCTGCTGCTGCTGCTGCTGCTCAGTCGGCCGCAACGTCGGCGCAGCTCCCTCGCTCTCCTCCACGGCCATTGCCAAAGCCCCTAAGCAGATCAATTTAATTTTTAACTATTTTCCGAGTTTGAATTTAAAACCACAAAATTTTTGGAAAATGTTTTTGTTTTTCCCTTAAACTCGTTTGCCTAGACATATGACAAAGCTGTGACAGTCAAGTAAAGGCAAGGAGTGTGTGACAGAGAGAGACAGAGAGTGTGTGTGTGTGCTGTCTCTGTCAGTGTGAAGCACTTTTCTCTATTTAGTTATTCCCAAACTACAATGCAATTCTCAAAAAGCAATGCAAGAGATGGAGCAGCTCGAAAGTGGGCGACGGCTGAGCGCGAGTGGCGAGTGGGCGTGGCTGGCTCAACGGGCCAAGGGTCGCAATACTCGAGGGGCAGCCAGGTGAAGGTCGTACGTAGCATCCATCAAGTATTTGCCGTTGTCGTTGTCGTTGTCAAACAGCAACAGCAACAGCAACAACAACAAAAGCAACAACCACAACAACAATAAAAACTTACCTGTTCCATTTTTGTTTTCCTTTCTGTCTTCCTCGCGTTCTCGTTGACTGAGCTGCAAACAATTTGTAACAGGTGCAGAGCAAGAGAGAAAGAGAGGGGTAGAGAGAGAGAGAGAGAGAGAGGGTGAGAGAGAGGAGAGAAGCACTGGGTTTGCTTATGGCTGCAACTGCAACAACCACAATAACAGCAACAACAACAACAACAACAACAACAACTGCAACAACCACAATAACAACAACAGCAACAACAACAACAACAACAGCAATAACAATGCAAGATATTTCATTGCATTCAGTCAAAACGTCACTGCCACGCCCACCGCTGTCGCCCGTTCGCCCACAAATTGAAAGACAGGCGACATTTATTTGTATTATTTTAATTGCTGCTAAGCAGTGGGAAGGAAGGGGGGGGGGGAATGGGGTGAGGCAAAAGCAAAGAGCTGTAAAAGTAGCGGTAAATGCAGAAGTAACTGTGAAAGCAGCGACGCCGGCAGAGGCAGCGACAGCGGCAGCCACTTCGATGCAGCTTGGTGTGAAGCGAGCGAGGAGGCGGAGGGGGGAGGAGGTGAAAGAGGAGCAGGTGCAGTGTGAGGCTTGCTAATATAAACAAAAGGCGCTAGAGCGAGATAGAGCGAAGGCTGAACGAAGCTAGAGCAACTGAAAGTGAGAGTGAGAAGACAAGGACAGCGAATTGTGGATTTGAGTAAAGCGAAAGTGAAATGCAGAGAGAGAGAGAGAGAGAAAGAGAGAGCGAGAGGGAGAGAGAGCGAGCTTTGCTAGTTTTTGGGGGCCACACTTGACATTTAACTGTTAAATTGTTAAATTGTTAACTGGCTGCGACGCAGGCGTCAGTCGTCGCCGTCGCCGTCAGCGGCAACTGAATAATAACGACATTTTAATTAAATGAAAGCCCGAAGAGTTGCCCGCCCACGCGACGCGTCGCGCCCATTCCGCCCCCTCTCGACTGCTCCTGACAGACGTCATTCGAGCTGAACTGAAATGCGTTTCAGCAGACACGCCCACCGCCCCTTGCGAGTGCCCCGCAACATAATAAGCCGTTCAAGCGGCAAAGCTACTAGAAAACCATTGCGAAATCATTATCAAAGCAGCAAGTGCAGAGAGCTCAAGCAGCGGGACAAGAGGTGGAGAGCTGAACGATCAGAGAAACGAATACCGATCATATGGCTCATTCATGCACTCGAGAAGTGATCATGGATTCTTCGAGCGAGCGATGAAAACTCTCAGATGATACTCACTATTTATCTCAGTTTCTGTCTCTGTCTCAGTCTCATTCTCAGTCTCAGTCTCAGTCTCAGTCTCAGTCTTAGTCT